TAAAGGAGTGCGTCGGTGGCCGGGGATCGAACCCCGAACCACCTGCGTGGTCGGCGAGTGCCACCGTCGCACAAGTTCATCACAGTTAGGAATATCATCGGTGATAGTAAGTAGACAGACGACCCTGTCTTACTTCTCTATTCACTTCAAAGCCTTCGCCGAGGTTTCCATTGTGAGTCACTTGGCATGTGGCATTGTCATATAGTTATTGAATGAGGTTGTCAATAATTCGGAGCACCGTACTCCATAGTGTTGAAGTAGTTTCCAGATTAATTCTTGATCAACGCTGTCTGTTGAAGGCATTTTCATGGTAGATGACATTGAGGTAGAGATTTGACTAGCATTCTATGTTCTGTTCAACGATGATGCATAGAGTTGCTATTTAATCATCACACGTTTACTTTTCTTGAATCCAGCTAGTTCTGGTGGACGGAGTTCCGCATTCAGTGCATCTTTTAATCTCTCCAGGATGACATGACAACCATATAGAAGGTATGAACTGAAGACAAAACAAATAGAGTATGAATAACATTTTTCAAAATGAAGTTTTAGTGTGTTGCAAGCTTTTTCTTAATGTTAAAGTTATCACTACACATCAGTTTACTGAAGAAACATTTCTACTGGCAAGTACTACTGTTTCCGCTGTCTTTATATATGTTCGATTTTCGAAAGAAATCAGATAACGTAAATAAATGAAAATACCGACTGGTGAATATTATGATGACAGGACCGCGGCAACATGACAAGGAGGGGAGAACAGATACTTTTCTAGGCAGAAAGACAGTAGAACAACTCGTTAGCATCAGTTGTGTTACATAATATTGTGGAAAAGTGATTTTATAAGAAGATTTCAAAAATGAATAGGTACACAGATACACATGTATGTGTGATAAACTTCATAACATCTAATAATTTGGAAAATTCGATGAATTATGGTTTTTTCTTTAAGAATGAGAATGTATTTCGCGTAGAAGTGAATCCCGTGTAAGCTTAATCTTATCGCAATGGTATGCAATCACTCAGTTGATATATATACACACACAAGTAGATCCCTTAGATTTATGGGTAGATCTTCTTTCTCGAAAATAACTAAATTATTTGATCGGTGTACTTGCTAAGATGACGACATTTGGAAGGGAAAATACACGAATACTCTTTTGTGTATTATCTGCATGAAGTCATTGCAATTGCATATGCTTATCTAGATTTATTATTATTCCCTTAAGTCCCGGGTGAAACATAGGGCTCCCACAGCACATCTCCACTTTTTCCTGTTGTGCGCAGTCCTCTTTTACTGGACCCACGATTGCCAATAGTTTCGCATCTCCTCTTCGCACGGTATTCTCCGTATCATCCTCGGACTCACGCCTAACTCTTCGTTGATCATTCGTCTTCCACACGAGCGATGGCCTGGTGCGCGATGTCATCCGTTTGGTCTCCTCAAAGAGTGTTCACTCCATCTCTTTTTGCTAATTCTTTCTAACCGGCCTTCTCATCTCCAGTATGGGGCGAATTAGGCAGCTGTTGATAAAATTCTGCACTGAAGTGTTGGAAATGCTCTTTGTGATGCGCCGGTCAAGTTTCTGACCCATATAGAAGAAGTGACTTAACACTGGTGTTGATAATCTGAGTCTTATTCCTCGTGCTGAGTGCAGAAGATTTCCAAACTGATTTCAGAGTGATGCTTACCTAGAACTGAGTTTAATTTGATATGTAGTATGTCTCAGAAAGCAGATTACAGTATGATGAATAACTGACGGACTGGCCTCGAAACCAGAATGTCCTGGGTTGCATTCTCTGTGAGGCCATGCATGCGTACTTCTGAAGAGTCTCGAACTAGAACGAAACAGTTGTTCAATGCTATGAAGTATACTAGTAAATTCGTTGCATACTCGAGACTAAACAGCGATTAACGCTAAATAGGTCACTTTACAATCTTACCTATCACATTTCTACTCTTGTGAACATTAAGAGCAGTGGAGCTCAGTGAATAGGCACTTGTAACATACGCCAAGTAAGCTTTACTTGATGAAACGCCACGGAAGAACGTTTTCAGTTTAAATATTATCTTTTGTAACGACTGAAACCCAAGCATTTGGGTCTACACATTGTGAACAACCAATCAATGCGTCTTTCTGTATATAACTGACCAAAATTACGCGAGTAACTCTCAGTGTCCCGAAAATTTCCTGACAGTAGCAAAACAAACCACTTTTATGTGATAAAATCTATGGTATTGATCCTCGCTAGTGACTTGCTACAGGACAGAGTTTCCTGGAGTTCTAGTGAGAAGTCATGACCAGTGGAGTCCATCCAGTCGGGTGTGAGGATGGAGCTCTCGCCGATGACATTGGCTAGTGGTCACACTAAAACAGATGACGAATTCGTAGAAGTTAGAATTCATGGGCTGGTCATTAAATCGGATCCCAGTGGTTGAATGGTATACGAGCTTGTCTTATAACCGGGATGTCCTGGGTTTGAAACCCAATGGATGCATATTGCCGATGAGTACCGGACTTGGATGAAATAGCTGTCCAGTACTCCAGCGCTAGTTTTCAATGGTTCTCTGACTGATTTCAATCCGTGGTCTAACCTGAAAATTTAATAATCTATGACAAGCATAAGACTACCTCAACAACACCGTCAGGCTTAATACCTAAGAATTAAATAGAATATATCCCAGAATAGTGGGATCGGAACTTTGTCGGCAAGAATGAAACACGCCAAAACATGTTTCTCACTGACAGATCAAGGTCCAAAAGTCCCCACGAGGTAACGCTGAGTTCATTCATCGGCAACAGTAAATAATAGACAGCAAATTCAGACGACGTTGAAAGAACCCATCAGGTTATTTATCATATACATGTTACAAAAATGAATTATACAGGGCATATATCCCTAATATGCTGTAAAAATCAGTCCCAGTAACTCCTAGGAGTGTCTGCAGACATATAAAACTAGTGTCGATACAAAAATTCATCTAAGTGGCTGTTTATCATATTTTACCAAGGGAAAGTTTCGATTTCGAGAGGAAGGTACCTAAAAAACCACCATAATTTATGACTAGCCTTCCCTTACAGACTTACTCATTTAGCAGCAGTTGTACCTAAATGTATGGCCATCGAAAGCCCGGCACTACTTCTGCAAAGTTATTGCTCCTCCACATATCAATCTTTTAGTCCTCCCTAACAAGCTATTTACCACACAGAAGTCAAAAACTAAATCTAGGTGAAACTTGCAAAGATTATCATGAATAGCGTTCATTTGTTATGTTGAACGATCTGACTGAAGGTCATTTGACTTTGGTGTCTATTGTTTACTCTTGCCCATTCATCATCAATATTCCACCATCACTCAATAGTAAAGGGAAGCATTAGGAAACAGGAATCAACCACTAACAAAGGCCAACAGTAACGTTCAAATCAATACAACATATGTACACCTTGTAACGATGATACACAAGCCAAAGAACAGAGGCGTAATAATTACACAATATTCAAATAAGCATCATTATTGTAAATAGATTGTTCAGGTTGGCTTTTCCGGCTAATGATTATTACACTACATCTTTCGCCAGTACTTTTTTTTAAAGGTTTATTTCTGTGAAGGTGATAGACACGGGAGTTGTGTTCGTATATACTGTGAATTAAGGAGTTTGGATCTTAATATATGTGTGAAACTTGGGTACAGTGGCAGTAAGTAATTCCATATTAGTTTGTTTATTAGATGTATCACACAGTGAAACAGTATTATTTACTGGATGACGTTTCGAACAAAATTTATTGCTCATTATCATATCAATTGTAATCACACGACTTTGAAACTTGAGTTTTATAGTTTTCTTTGTCTTCTCCTATTTGTCGTATGGGTAGTAGAATTTTCCAGATATCTGGGACAGGTGATGAATCATTCCTATGACACGTATTCGCAGTTGATTCGATAAACAAAGCTTCTGTTATCAATCTCTCCCTCCACCCTGTGACATTAGATTTTAAAACTGTCATCCTATCCCATCCTATTGTATGGTTGTGTATAACTGCATGTAGTGCTATAGCTGAACTATTCTCCAGATTTCTTATCTTATTTGGGTCAACTAATCTAGATTTTGCTAGATTTTTATGCTCTGCTAGTCTGACTGCCCCTGTTCTACTACTTTGACCTATGTATTTGACCTGACAATCATTCCAGCAAAGTATTAGATAAACTAAATTGTTTTGTTTTAAAGGCTCCACAGGATCCCCCACTCAACCGACAAAGCTTGTTTCTAATTGAGTTTGTGTGTTTGAACGCCACTTTTATTCCTGCCTTGCTAAGAATTCTGCGTAAGGTTTCCTTGTATGGAATTACTACTGATTATTTAGATTCTTCATTGTTGGTGTCGTCATTAATATTATTATTATTATCACTATCGCTACTATTATTATTTATTATATTTTCACATTTCCCTATATACTTCTTGATTAATTTATCAGTGTAATTATTAAGTTTCAATGTTTCTCTTATATGCCTCACTCTCTATTTTAGATTTTCCTTGGTACTACTTAGTTTTTGTGCTCTATTACTTAAACATTTCACCAATCCTATTTTCACTGACATAGGATGAGATGATCGGAAGTCCAAATATCTGTTTGAATGTGTGGATTTCCTTTAGGCACTAGTGTTTAACTTCCCATCTACTTTCCGTTTTACGTTGCAGCTTCCCTTCCTTTGTGTCATTGCTTTTTCAGTCTCATATTCTAAAGATTGAAGTGTTTGACCGAAATTCATCTGTCAAGTGATGAAATCAGTTGTCATATAACTCAGACTCACAACTCTTATCATTTCGGTATGTTATACAGTCCTCCTTCGTAGATCAGAAAGGTAGATCCGGATGTACACATGTTTCCGTCTGTCTAATAGTCATCATGTACATAAAATAATGACTTAGTATTACAAGATTACGTCATTCAACTACTTACATTAGTAATCGTAAATGTCATTGTTTTTGTCTTTTTACACAGATCTAATTCTTCTCGCCTCTTTCATCATGTGGCCAGCAGGATGGGATTCAGTGACCATTCGTGAAGTATGCGGAGGTAGTGTTGGACCTTATTCGAAAGGAAACTGTTCTATAGGTAAGTTAAATCACTGTTAAGTAAATTTGTGTATGTGTGTGTGCGCGTGTTTAAATCAATTTGAAGGTGTTTCTAGGTCTAAACCAAGAGAATTAAGGTATCGTTTCTAAGATTGCTACTCTACAGACGGCTAATATTTTGTTAAAGGATATTGTAACGGAATAATGGTTTAGAAAGTTCCTCCTGAAAGATTTAATCCTAATATTTTCTTACTTAGTTGGATTTTTCAACCAACTTTGTAATTATCATCCGTTTTTTTTCCAGCCTGTATATCACTGTTCTGACGTTTTCGTATCATCATTTATTTCGTTGCCTTCTCATCAGCTACTTACAGGTCAAAGACATTATTAAATAAATGTACAAAAAAAAATTTTAACATACCTGCACAGAGTTCACTTTAAACAAAAATCAACCAAACAATATATGCATACAGTAATAATATATACATATATATATTATATATATGTAATATTAAACACTATTCCGAACAATAATGATCATACACAATGGAAACTTTTGGCATTACGCATTCAGATGAAAGAGAGATGAAAATATCCAGTTACCAGGGCAAAGAAAGACTGATAACTGCTTCTTTCTGAACGCACAAATCAGGTTTCAGGCGCTTGATGTAGATGGCTTCAGAAAACTTGAGGAGAATTGAGCTCTTTTTCCTATTAATAATTTTGAACGATTTTGCGACGTCCACCTCATGACCCGTGTCAAGAAGATGCCTGGTGATGGCACCGTCTAAAGCATTTGTTCCCTTTAGACATAAGCTTTTTTGTACATGTTCTGTTCTTCCAATGTAACTGCTCCCACAGATACATGTAAATGTGTATATATAATTGGAGTTAACATGAGAAAGATATCTATCGATTTTTGATTGCATCAAAGAGAAAGTTGTTCGACAGTCGGGAATGAGCTTAGCTGCAGTATAGGCTATGGCTAGTAACGTACTCAGTCTTCTGTTGACCATTGCTGCAATGTTTTCACCTCTATAATCAAGTTGAATGTAGATTGGCTTTTTCTCCACCGTGATTTGTTTCACATTTGAGACTTCAGATCTTCTATACTTGTTAATTAACATTTGAGGGTAACCATTGCTCTTCAATATCTTTTCAAGAAACATAAATTCTTCCTCTAACTTGACTATAAAGCATATTCTCCTCACTCTATAGTACACAGTCTTGACTAGTTCGCGTTTAAAGCTATTTGGACAAAAACCATTAAAATGTAAGTATTGTCCTTTCCAAGTAGGCTTTCGATAAATTGACTTCTGAAGACTACCGTCTTCTAGGCGTTGCATGGAAATGTCGAAGAAGTGGAACTTTTCATCACTTTCATGTTCCATAGTAAACTCAATATTGGTATGTGCGTCATTGAACAATCTGAGTAAGTGTGAAGCATGACTTTCATTGTTGCACACTACAAATGTGTCATCGACATATCGACAGTGGTTTTGCAATACATTGTCGATGTGCTGTTTTATGATGTGGTTTTGCGTGAGTGAATTAAGGTGATTCTGACCTTAGATGGTGTGTGATTCTTGTGGACAGAGTTTTTGATACCAACTTGTTGAGAATATTCTAATTCAGGTACTTCTTACAGTTGAATTTTGGTCAACTGATTTTGTTCTACAGTGCTTGTTTTCTACTCAGAACCTTGTCTTGACTGTATAGCTGTCTAAGGGAACTGTTGAGGTAATTTTGAGCTTTTGATGTTATTACTGTTGCTGAGGAGAGCTGTGGCATATGCTACTGGTAAGGTTTATCAGTAGTGCATAAAGAGATTTCCATACGCATTAAAACATAAAATAGCAAGGAGATAGATTTGATGTCAGAGAAAGCAAATGATACAGCGTTGTGAAGATACATGGGAGACATGAAAGGAACACAAAGAAACACAATATGAAGGAAGGTGAGAAGTAGCACAACACGATAGATCTGTGGGAATGGTGACTTGGAGATAAGGTGTACATAATTTAGCTATATACAGATAACAGATTGCAAATAAACATTCCTTTACCAAGTCTCTCATTTTCTACTGTCACAGAGCCACACACAAATAATCATCTTTTCGTTGTCTTTGGAGCGTTTTGTGACTGTGTCTGTGTCTCAAGTAAGACTTAACACCTTTACAGAAGGATACAGGGATGGGTTCCTTGAGTGCAGACCACAAGGAGTCAGTTTTAGTCATCAGAAATGTGTCATTAAACAATGAGGTTACTCAGACATCTATAGAACACAAAACAATCAAGCAAAGAATATTCTTTTCGATAAATCCTTTGCTTAACCAGGCGGGGTGATGTTCGGAAATTCGACGAGAAACACGCCTAATTGTACGGCCTGTGTAACTGGCATGCTCCACAGGAGCAGTTAAATTGGTAGATACACATGGAAGAGGCGAAATTAGGCAGTTTATCTTTTATTCACCATACCATCCTGTAGCCCAATGGTTAGTCGAACTCTTACAGCCCCTTCATACTGAGTTGGTGAAACACAGTGTAAAGGATACTTTTGGATTTGTTGAAAGGATAAAAGATTTAAATGTTGACAATAAATTCATGATATCATTTGACGTATCTTCCTTATTCACCAATGTACCACTTATGGAAACAGTGGACTTTGTATGCGAAGAACTCATAAGACGAAACATCGATGTTGGCATTCCTATATCTTTTATGAAAGGGCTTCTCTTGAAATGTACAATGAATGTCCACTTTTTATTTAATAAGGAACTATATAGACAAATCGACGGTGTGGCAATTGGGCCACCACTAGGACCCATTCTAGCCGACATTTTTCTTGCGAAACTAGAAAATGGGCCTTTGAAGGATGTTATTAATGAACTCGAATTTTATTGTCGATACATGGATGATACTTTTGATTATGAAGAACGAAAATGAGGCAAAGGACATCCTGGATAAATTTAATGAGGTACATCCTGCAATGAATTTTACTATTGAGAAAGAAAAAGACTCTAGTATTTCATTTCTACACGTCCTTATGACCAGAAAAGAGGATGGCGCAATAAGAAGAAGTGTTTGTAGAAAACCTACATAAACGGGCCAGTACACACATTTTCTCAGCTTTGTGCCCTTGAAATACAAACGCAATCTAATAAAGTGCTTGGTCCACAGAGCAAGAGAGATTCGCTCGGACGAATGTCTTGACGAGGAACTTAACAATATTAAACGGTTGCTAAGTGAGAATGGTTATCGTGAAAAGTTTATTGATAAGAATCTGAATCTGAAACCAAAGCAGCCCAAGTTGCCGATAGTTCCAAAATAGACCTCATTCTTACAGATGCAGTTCCTAGGAGACAACATCAGTGAGATACTAACACAGCGCCTTAGAAATGCGGTAAAAAGAGCATTCCCTGCTGCTGAATTACGCTGTATCTTTAAAACCACTCCTCTTTTGCGTTCGGGAGTAAAAAGACAAACTGCCTAATTTCGCCTCTTCCATGTGTATCTACCAATTTAACTGCTCCTGTGGAGCATGCCAGTTACACAGGCCGTACAATTAGGCGTGTTTCTCGTCGAATTTCCGAGCATCATCCCGCCTGGTTAAGCAAAGGAATTATCGAAAGGAATCTTCTTTGCTCGATTATTTTGTGTTTTATAAATGAGGTTACTGTGCACTTGTTCAGACATTTGAATTCAAATCTCAAAGTCATAAATATCAATCCAAAGAGTCGTTAGTTGAAGACTGTTGGTAAAATAGCTCAAATTTGTGTACATTGGCGTGTATTTGTTCACTCTTTGTTATGTATCGCCCAGATTCTGGAAATCTTAGCTACTCCTCTCTCTCTCAATACATTTCATTGCATTTCTCTTTTATGTGTACTTTCCCGAAATTTGATAACAAGAACTAATGCACTTTTGTGAAAAGTTCAACGTTGCTAAGTCAGGGTGCAAATGGCACTTCAGCTATCAAGATTTGAGTTGATAGACAATGTTATCAATCATTACACAATATCCGCATATACACAAAGCATGAATTCGAAAATAATTTGTTCTCCAGTGATGTAGCAAAGTTACGAAGCTTTACTGTCTTTGATTAGGTGTGGGCATGGATACAAAATTCTGGTGTGGTATTCACCAATTTGCGTTATCTCTGGCGTAGATGGGATATCCTGTTGACTATCGATCAGAGGATATGTGTACTGCTCAGCAGTTCACTGTGTATTCCTTTATAGCAGTGAGACATGGTCATTGAAAATTGAAGACACGCTAGAACTAGCCGTTTCTGATCATAGGTGTCTGCGTTCTATCTCCCATTTTAGGTAACACAATAGGGTGAGCAATACTGAGGTTAGGTATCAAGTGTTAGGTAAGAAGGGAAAGTTAATCAATGAGATTGTGAAGCCACATTGATTGGGATGGTTAGGATGTGTGTTATGTATGACTGGCTATCGTCTCCTTCTACGGTCAATGGTAGCTGACATAGGATCATACTGGAAAAGAGCTAGTGGTGGTCAAATCAACACCTGGCATTAATACATGAAATTCCTGACAGTCAGTTTGAGCCAGCCAAGTAGGGAGGTGTAGACTACATTGCTAGGTTCCTTGAGATTCTAAGAAACAAATGGCTGACTCAGAAGCATTCTCAGTGACTCAGATGCACCCACTCTTTTTGATACGCCATATAAATTAGACCTTAAAGTTTCTCCATGTTAATATTGTTTCACCTCACATTTCTGCTTATTATTGTCATTTTGAATATCTTTTTGCCTTCCTTTATGTGATACATGGAGTGTGGCAACTCAAACTGCCGTAATTCTGCGCTAAGTTCTATATTGAAACCAGTCAGTTAGTCAGATAGTTACGGAATATTCAAATGTTGCTTTGCTGGGATTTGATTGGTTACAGGATTTCATTATGAGCTCACATAGGTTTGGGAACCACTGGAAAACCTAGGAGTACTGGACAGCTGTTTCCTCGTCCTAGTTTGGGACTCTTCATCAGTACTCATTCTAGTCAGCTGGGGGTTCGAACCTAGGAGCATTAAGCCAATGGAACATGATCCAATGGCCAGCCCATGAATTCCAACTACTACCGATCCACGATATAGCGCAACCACTAGGCAGTGTCATCGGCGAGTATTTGTCCTTACGGCAAAGTTCAACAATAGCGTCCCAAGGGATGCGAACGCACGACTGACCTTCAGCCGACCAATCATAAAAATGAGGAATTTTCGCACACAAAATGACGTATATTTACAAGAAAATGCATGAAAACACATTAAACAGGGTATCTTTCTCTGCAACATGACTTAAAAATACGTCCCAGTTATAATGAGGAGTATCATTTGCTAAGTTAGACTAGTTTCTGTACATATGTATTTACCGAGGTGACTGAAGATGACCTGGTTTTTTAAATGATTCATCCTTCTTATCATGTTGTGCAGTCCTCCCCAAAAGCCCTCGGTTGAATTACTACGGTTTCCAGTAAGAGGACCGACGACTGCTTATCAGGAAAATGTGGATAAGAGAACAAATTCAGATGTCATCAACTGTAAATCTATCCATAACCGTAACCCTAACCCTAACTACAACCCTTATCCTAACCATAAATCTAACCTTAATACTAATTATAACCCATATCCTTACCCTAACGAGCTATTAACCTACTGTCCAAACAATACTTAAAAACGTGATCTGAGTGAAATTTGCTGCTTAGCTGGTGAATAGCGTTGATATTTCAGCTATGATAATGACAGATGCCGTCATCCAAAGACTAGCATGCGTTCAAGGTCATTGGAGCGTTCGCACTCTTGGGACGCTATTGTTGAACTTCGCCGTCCTTACAATATCTTTCCCTCTGAATTATTCTCATTTCTTTTGTTTTAGGCTGGGCACCGTTAACTGCTATGTTTGGAATAATTCTGTTGTTAATCAGTGCAATCCTGTCTATTGCAGTTGACAAATCAATCACTACACAGACAGCAACAAGACAAATATTATTGAATGGAAAGTCATGCGTTTTCCTTCACTAATATGTACAAATTATGCCTGAAATGATGTGAGATGAAATATTTGGTTTAGACATATTTTTATTGGGTATTTATTATTATTCATACAGCTTAGATGATGATTTATGCTTATACTGACATAGAGAAGAGAATATGAGACAAAATATACATTCATACACATTTATGATACTATGTAAATAAACATTCCAATTTGATTTTGATGCGCAAAAAGATGCACACCTATTTAAACAAAATTTGTAAAAAATTAAACAAATCCAAACACATACACACATATATATATAACATTCAATAGTCACAGTTGCTGATAAACTAATGTTGTTTTTTTGTTTGTCTAAACATCCGCTATCGATAATTGCGTTATCTCTATGCTTGCTTTTTAGTTCTGAATAAAGAAACATTGAAGAGAACAGTTGTAAACCGATTGTACTGTTTATTTATTTTTTTTCAAATGTTGACTTTACAGGGGTTGATGGATTTCAGATTAGATTTGTGGGAAATTGTCATTTGGACATATAGAGAATTCAAAATAAGTGATTCGATGAAGGGTATCTCTTTTAAACCAATTTTACAATGAAGGTGTACAACCTTATATATTTATGGTATGAGCTGTGACAAAAATAATTGATTAAAAATGCCCATTAAAATTTTCAAAAGAATGGACACGGAACAAAGAGTACTCTTTTCGATAAATTCATCATCAGGTTCTACAATTATATATACATTATAATGAATGAATGAATTAGTCTTATGAACGACATTAATGTTTAAATAACATCAAATCAATAATATTGATAAATTACAGCTGAACAGCATCAACATAAAATAAACTGAATGTCAGAAGAATTATGAAAGGTAATAGTACAAATTCATGAGTTTATAGTCTCTACTGAGGGCCAGGGCAGTAGTAGGGGCTGGACTTGTTTCTTTTGGACACAGAGCACTGGTTGTTTGAGGCGAATTGCAATAGCCTCTGCTGTTTGGAGCATGCGGTGCTTCGACGATTTTGGTAGTTTGTTAGGCACCCGGTATATTATAGAGAAGGATTCTTCTGCGCTGGCTTTGTGACCGGTTTGCACCACATGGTCTAATATCGAACTGTTAATAGTTTTAACTATACCTTTACTTAGCCATAGTGAGATATGGTGTCGAGCGACGAAAAATCAAGTTCCTAGAGCAACGGCCAATATAACTCGCTCCACCACAAGCGCAGTTGAATTGATAAATACAATTTGAAGTGGCTAGTCTAGGTACTTCATCTTTCAGTCGAGGTAGCACCATCGGTCGTGTAGAGAATAATACGTGTAGTTCGCCAGCATTAAAAGTTCTTTGAACTGATTTTCTTAATTTCTTCGTAATTATCTCGCTTGGTATATCGCCCATGAATTGCAGTCGTACATATAAAGGCTTCTTGTTTACAGACAGTGAGTAGTCCTTTTCCGCTTTCTTTGTCATATGTTTCTTGATAAATTTGTCGGGATAGCTATTTTCGATCAAAGTGTGTGTGGGTTTGCAGGGATATGATTGGTTACGGGTCAGTTAGAGAAACGCTGAAAAACCTGGACAACCGTTTCCTCCGTTCTAGTTTGGCACTGCTCGGCTGTTACCTGTGTAACCAATCAAATCCCTGAGAAAACTAACGCTCGATAATTATTCTGATACACTCATTAGCGGCTGGTTTTGTACAGGAAGTTACCTGGAGTTCTAGTGGAAGTTGTAATCAAGTCTGGTAAGAGAACACTATGACAATGGCTGGCAGTTGCGTTACATATATATATATATATCAGGTTGGAGGGAGTTGGAATTCACGAGTGATTAAATCTGGTCCCAGTGAGTGAATGGCCTACGATCTTTATTTGTGATCGGGAACTACGGGGCTTGAATACCACTGGGTGTGTAGTGATTAGGCCTTCCAATGGTTCTGTAACTGATGTCAAATCGTGAAAAAATCTGTAACAAAAATAGTTGGTCATGTACTTTATAAAATATTTCAAGAAATGTATAAATCTCAAAATAGGGTGTAGAAGTAATAAGACCAGTAAGCAATTGAAACACTGTGCAACATAGTGATAATTGTGGTAAGACAAAGTTACGAAAATTATATGGAATGAAATAAACGGAAGTTCGATTCAAGTTTTGTCCAAGAGGATGCAAGAACATTATCTCCTGCATGGTTGCGAAGAGATGGAACCACAAGAATCGAATATCTGGTCGATTCTGGCCGACTTATTCTTACAGCCTCTTCCTTTAAAGTTATATACAAGGCAAAAAATAACGACCAAATCATTAAGTGTCCAACTCGTCTGCATTGCTGAGGCCTTTGGTTATCGGGATAGAAAAGCCTTACTTCAGTGTACAGAAAGAATTTGTTCATCCCCTGCAACTTTCATCGTCTAAATCAGTCTATGCTAAAGTATTATAATTCCCATTCATACGCTGGTCATATTTATTTTTCAAAGAACGATCTTATTCTTCGCTGGAGTAAGGGAGGCGAAATGACGCGGGCTGGTGAAAGCCTTCGAGAAGCCAGTCAACCGATGTGTCTTCTCTCGATGAAAACAATAATAAGAATGGGGACGTGGAATGTCCGTACAATGTAAGAGACTAAGAAGGCTGCCCCAGTAGCCAACGAAATGCGAAGATATGGTATAGAAGTGCTGGGTATCTGTGAGAGCAGATGGTGTAGGGGACTTATGTTAGAGTTCACTAGTGTTACAAAATATGAGAAATAAAATTCAAGCCAATGGAATGTTAAGTAACAGTATATTACTAAAAATGTAACGACACGTTATATCAACAAAAGGGTTACTTGGAAATAAAGTTTAAGTCCTCTGCTACAAATTATTTATATAACCCACGGAGACGTTAATTGTTTGGACGGAGTAGGTTGTAGCTGCTGTGTCCCGGTTGTAGAATTGTCTTCGGTTGAGCGTAGTGGACTTCTACAATAAATCCGAAAGATACAACACGGTGAGAGCTGAGCTAGTAAGCCGAAGAAACCAAGGAGAAGACGAAGTCTCCAACAGCAGAGTGTATTCTCCAATCGTACACGGAAGCCAAGTGTATTTCAACAAGAAGCGTTTTAAACAAAAATTATGTACAATATGTCTAATTTCTACAAATAACCAAAAAGTGTACAATCACACTGTTACGCACTCCACAGGGCTCCCCCCCTAGAGGTCCGGAGAGACCATCGGAAAATGTTAAGTAAAGCTGTGAAGTAAATAATAATAGTAATAACAATTTTTGGATAAAAATAGGGATATATTACAACATGCATAAACGCAAGAAGTTATGTGAGTCATGTAAAGTCTGAAAGCATATACAATTAGTTCAGCAATAAAATAATGAAAACAGAAAGTCATGTCTTTCAAATTTGCACTAACCATGAGCATAGGTTTTCAATGTATAACGAAAAAAATATGGATTAAAGATCAATAGTTTCTGAAAAGGACAATGCCTGTTTTATAGGTGAGGTACACATAAGTAAATAATAGTGATAGTAACATCAAAGTTTACAACGAAATACTAACGGCCACGATAATAATGTCTAAACGAAAAAGACAATAATAATTTTTAATATTTTTTTATTAGTCCTCAAAATGCACGTAGCGAGCCGGTTCACTGATTTGCCGACCACTACGTGTTTGATATGGAGGGATGATAAGAGTTGGTGCCGGTGGAGTGGAATGTGGTGTTTGATTATTTGATTGTGCAGTTGCCGATGTAGCTTCAAAATCGTTGTCTGTGTATGCGGGTTTGATGCGATCGATGGAAACGGTCTCTCGTTTTCCATTCTTGTTCACCGTAAAGTGTTTTTCTGAACGTTTAATAACTTGAAATGGTCCTTCGTATGGAGGTTGTAATCCTTTTCTGATGGCGTCGACTCGAACAAACACGAATTTGCAAGTTTGTAGATGTTTGTTGATCTGATCTCGTCGGGGAGATTGTCGAGGTGCTGTTGGTTGAAGCTGAAGCATTTGTCTAGTTAATCGGTTGGTGAAGTCGGTAATGTTCACGTCTGTGGAATCGGCTGAGGGGACTAGCTGTCCAGGCAAGGTTAGGTTGGTGCCATAAACAAGTTGATCCGGTGTACATCCTAAATCTTCTTTGATAGTAGATCGGATACCAAGTAAAATTAAAGGTAAGTATTCACTCCACTTAGATGTATCATTTTGCGCCATCAGGGAGCTTTTCAGTTGTCTGTGGAATCTTTCCACTAGACCATTCGCTGCCGGATGATAGGCTGTCGTGGAGATATGTTTCACTCCCAGGAGTCTCGTCAGTTCGCGAAAGAGTGTCGATTGGAATTGAGGACCGCGGTCGGATGTAATAGTAGTTGGTACACCGTAGTTTGACACCCAACGGTCGAGAAAAACCAAAGCAACGTTTTCAGCAGATATGTCGTTTAAGGGGCATGCAATAGCCCAACGAGTAAATCTATCAATCGCTGTCAGGATATGTGTATATCCTCTTGATGTTGGCAATGGTCCCACGATATCTATATGGATATGCTGAAATCTCCTTTCGGGTAATTCAAACGGCTTCGGGGTCGTAATAGTGTGGCGGTGTACTTTGGAGCATTGGCATTGGAGACATTCGCGTGCTCATCTCCGAATGTCAGAGTTCATTTTAAGCCACACGAAGCGTTCGCTGATGAGTCTGACTGTGGCGCGTACTCCAGGGTGAGAAAGAGAAAAAAAAAAAAAAAACAATGCTTTTCGGCAACTGAGGGGGACAAATGGACGGTTAGTGCCGGTAGATACATCGCAGACTATGGTTGCATCTGATAAGGGGATAGGCACCTCTTTGAGCTGTAAGGAAGAGTTTCTGTGGCAGGTTTGGAGTTCAACGTCATCTCTCTGTAATTGAGCCATGCGATCCGGACTGATGTCTACCGCGGTTTGAAGCTGGTTTGTTTCACTTCTTGAAAGGGAATCGGCTACCACGTTCGCATCCCCTTTGATGTACTGGATGTCGGTTGAAAATTGGGAGATATAATCCAACTGTCTGGCTTCTCTAGGGGAGTGTTTATCGAGTGAAGTAGTGAAAGCATGACACAGGGGCTTGTGGTCAGTAAAAATAGTGAAGTGCCGGCTCTGTAGTAAGTAACTGAAATGCTTCACTGCAAGATATATGGCCAACAATTCTCTCCCAAAAGTGCTATAACGTGTCTGAGCCGGTTCCAGCTTCTTAGAAAAGAATGCGAGTGGGGTGACTTCACCTTTCATCTTTTGTTGTAATACTGCCCCTACAGCTACTTGGGAGGCATCTGTGCACAAAATAAGCGATGCTTCGGGGTTGATATGAGATAGCATAGTGACTTTGGATAAGGCGTCTTTTGCGTTGCAAAAAGATTCATGGGCTTCAGCTGACCACTGAAACTTTTTA